TGGATGGGAATTGGGTTTCATCTTGCATCCCAACTCCGGTCATTGGCTGGGGCCCCCTTGGAGTGCTGGGATGAGAATTGTGAAGTTGTGTCTGGGCTCTGCGGGAGGCGTTCCGCGGTCACTTAGTGATGTCTCGCATGCATGAAAGGATAGAGGATGACGGCATCTCTTCTGTGGGTGTGTTGCCCCCATAGTCATAATCTACAACGCGATCGGAGATGTATTAGGAATTAGTGACACACCACAGGTGGAGAATCAGAATGTTGGATGAGTACGTGATGACGGATACTTACGCCTGGCTGAGCGGACTTAGAAAAGTGCCAAGTGAAGGAGCCATGATGTTGAAGTATGGGATTGGGATCAGTGCCAGAGCTTTGGACTGGAGATGATGTGCATAGATGTGATAGTTGATTTTGCTCTTGCAATTCGGTTAGGGGTGAGAAGCAGGAGAGACTGGGGGGCATTAGGAGAGGTCAGCTTGAGTTGATGTATCTCTTTTGGTGCTGAGCTCTGAATGTGGACATGTTTACATCTTGAGTCACGTTGCCAGAAGGAGACCAAGAAGTGAATCTGGCATAAGCAGTTGGAAGCAGGTGAGTATTTAGGATGCTGTATCTGAATAACATTTAAATTTTATCCAAACGCCATTGAAGCTTTCTGTTTGTTTTAAAGTCTTACCTAGCCTCTACACTGTTTATTAATGAGTAGGTGTCAGGGTTGGTGTGAGCAAAAGGTCTCTTCTTTGTGATCTTGAGATGATAGAGAATAAGGATGCTAGAAGAAATTCAGTTTGAATTCCTGTTACGGAAGAAACAACAAGGACTCAGGAAAAGCCAAAACCAGGTTAAGGTTTTGCCCAACATCAGAGAGAGTAGGTGGTACGGTTGGGTTTGAGACTTAGGGCATGTGATTTTTCTCCTAAGTGCTTTTTTTGTTACTGTTTGCTGGCTTTTCTAGAATATATAGAATACAATGGGAACTTTATGTATAAAAATACAGGATAAATGACGTGCATAATCTGATGGAATAATTTCGAGAGATGAAGATACAGACACTTCCCAGCTTTTTGCCCTTTACATTTTGCTGTTTCGTTCATATGTTCATAAGTATATTTAAGCCAGTCTTGAATATTTAGGTCATTTCTAGTCGTTTGCTCTTTTAAGTAGGAAAAGACAGTTGAAGGTAGCTGGACTGCCTAGGTTTAAATCCAAGGTTTACCATTTCTTACTTCGGGGATTTTTGATCACGTTCTTAAACTCTGTGCCCCAGTTTCCTTATCTCCAAACTGGGGATGATAATGGTGCTTACCTCAGAGGTTTCCTGTGAAGGTTCCATGGGGATGGGAAGGGAAAGTATTTAGAATACGCTTTGGTGCCTGGCAAGTTCTATCTAGGAAGAGCGCAGACTTTGGAGTCAGAACTTTTGGGTTCACAGTCCAGCCCCATCTCTTCCTAGTTGTTTGACCTTGGAATTACCTTACCTTCTCTGAGCTTAGATGATAATATCTACCTTCCAGGGTAGCTATGAGAATTAAGTAAGGTAAGACAAAATGCTTTCATAGTGCTTGACTTAAAATACGGACACAATACATGATAATTGTTTTTGTTATTACCATCATAATCATTATAGTTATGAATTATGCTGTAATGAACATCCATACACAGAAGCCTTTGTATGTCTTTGTGAATGTTTCCTTAGGGTAAATTCTTAGAAGTGAAATTACTGTGCTTCCTCTTAACTTGCTAAAATGTCTTGAATAAAGTTTTCTTTACAGAAAAAAATGACACTTTCATTGAGCTCATTGTAGGTGCAATTTCCCAGTCTAGGCCTAGTAGGTTATACAAGGCTGGATATTCCCTTACCTGTCATGAGCTCATGATCTGGTATGAGAAATAAGAGATGAAAGGTAACCATGGTCAAGTATACAACGTGATGCATGTCTTTGAAAAGGAGCAGAGTCCTAGGGAAGCCGCAGTTGGAGGGGTTAATTTTGGCAAAGGGAAATCGAAGACTTCACGAAAGAGATGACAAAAGTGGATATTGAGGATGCATCGTATTTTGATAGGTGGAGATAGGGAAGGTTATTGTTGACATAGTGAGGCCGGCCTCATATGATTGTTTCTGTCTTTGGGGCCATAGGGTTTAAGCATGTGGACTAGCCATTGGTTTTGAAGACTTAAGAGACTAGTAAGGAGCTTATTTTCTCTCTACTTACTTTTCTCCACCTAGATTCTCTTCATCTTCCTGTTTAGTCTCCTTCAGGAGACAGACAGTTTCTTTTGGATTTCCTAGAGTCTCTTAGAAACCTGATACTGCATCATGTATTACTTAAGACTGATTCAGGCCAGAATACACACTCAACTCTTCAGTGCATCAAATTGGAACTCAAGTTTCTAGGTTCTGTATGATTACTTTAATCTGAGTTCTCTGAAGAAATGTTAATCTCTTGTTACAGTATGATGGCAAGGCTTTGCAAGCATAGACATTTTAATGGAGGCACAATTCTTAAGTTAAAGCCTTTTTAGCTGTTACTTATTTTTCAGTGACAGTTATGACAAATGGTTGGCATAATTTATTTTTGCTTTGTAGATGGGGTATAACTCAAGATCTGTATTGGCTATGCATTTTTTTTTACGAATTCATAAAATTTCAGTCGAGAACATTGGATTAGATGTTAAAGCATTTATATTGACAAGCAAGAAGTAAATCGTATTCTGATCCAGTTTGTATAGTAACGTGCAACCCAATTGACTAAGTTCGTGTTGGTAATTTTGCATTGCTCTGAGACTCAAGTTACATATATAAGAGTTGACAGTCATTTCAACATGTGTTACACTTGAACTTCAGAAGGTAAAGGAGTTCTGCTACTTCATTTCTGTTCAAAAACAGTCAAAAATAGTGGAAGAAAAGGATCCTCCTATAATTCTCTGCCTCACACTGGTAAGTACACAGTCAAACCAAATCCACCATTAACCAATGCTGTGAGCTACTTAAGTTGCTTGTTTCCTTAAAGCTTTCATGTGACAAATTTATAATTTCATGTTATTTCTAGGTCAACAGTTAGATTAATGTTTTATCTCCTGAGCAAAAGCACAGTGTTTTTCTTTGTAAACTTTGTTATCTTACTCAAACCGAAAATTGCAAAACAAAGAATTTTTTTGTTCTCACATTCCTCAGTGGAGAGCTTTGTTTATATAGAGGTTATCTTGTGGCTTATTTTATATTCTACTTTACTCTAAATTTTCTGCAGGTGGAATAAGTATCCTCTTTAAGGCTTTCAAATCTTATTAATTAAAGCTAGTTGGTTGTCATTACTGATCATTTACTAGCTTTTATTTTTGCTTTGTTAGAGCCCAGCAGGAGGCCTCTTAGTTGATCAGAATACATGCCTTGTCCTGCTCACTAAAACATACCTAGTGCCTAGCCACAGAAAAATCCTCAAAAAATATTGGTTGAATGAGTAAATGATTGTCTCTGACCTGGGAGGGTATAAGGCTAAGAAAGTAGTTTGGAGTATGCAGATCTCTCTACCAGTCTGAGAGCTGGTAACTTTGGACATTTTCTATTTGAACTAGTACCATTTTTCTTTTCTTTTTTTCTTTTTTTGGGAGTACTGATATGTTATCAGTTCTTAAGTAGGCGCGGGGACTCGTATTGTAATTCTATTTTTGAAATAAATTACATTTTACAGACTTCATACCACTGTTTTCTTCTATTTGCATGGATTGAAAATTTAGTTTGTTTTGTGACTCTCAGACTATGGAAAATTTGATTTTCAATAGATCCCATGATACCATATGTATTATGATTGTTGTTTTTTTTCCTTTCCATAACTCCACCCTAAAATCCTATTACATTTCAGTGACTACATTAGCTTCATCATTAAAAATTCTTTAGGACAGCCAGTTCTAGCTGTTAGAGAGTTCCTGGAAAGACACATTATAAAAGGGATTGTCATAAAGGGTTTTGCACACCTGCTCACAGGAACAATGGACCCTGCATTTGTGACCAAAGATGCAATAAGATAACCCAAGATGTGACCCAAATGTCATAAAAGCAAAAATGCAACCATAAACCTATGTATTATTTTATCTTCGTTTTTATTTAATAAACATTTCAGGTATGTCAGATATGAATCTTAAGTAGTCATTATGCTCAGAAGAATTTTTGGGTCATTGAGGAGGGAGAAAGACCCCATCTGAGTGGACTCAGGAAGAACCATGTGTGAAGTCCTCCACGTTCAGCAGACACGCTGGAGCACGGCTCTTATGGCAGCTGAGTAGTCTGGAATCCCATTTTTATCATTTGGATGCCCTGGTTTGGGATGGTAGAGCGGACCTCACAGACTGATTTTAAATCTGATCTCAGGTAGTTTGGTGATCTTGTTTGAGATACAGATAAAACTTAGAGTACTTAGAGGGATCAATATTTTTTTTTCTGTAACTCTTTTTTTTTTTTTTATCAGCCACAGTGATTTATTGAGTGCTTTAATAATACAAGTGTACATCAACTGATCCACAGTCAAAAGTGGCAGGTCCCTAAGAAATTTACAAGCACTTTAAGTAAATCAAAATACATATTATTTTGTTCAATCCAACAGTCTTCTGTGTGGGGAACAGAAGGCTAGTGATAAACAGAGTCTCAGTAATGCACAGTGATTCTGATTGAAGCTTTTGTACAAAAAACTTGTTCCCAGTAGCATGCACCCACCAATAAAGACTTCAGTACAAAAAATTAACCCTAAGCACTGCGTTTAAGTAGAAATGAGATATAATTCTGAATTCGTGTTTTCCCAAAGATCACATAAAAGGAAAAAAATCAAAATAAAACAAAAAACAAAACCACACAGTAATACAAAGCTTTGTAAGAAAGCTCTTACTATTACAGATCCAACACTGTTTGCACTGAAAACAAAAGTTCCCATTCCATGTTAAGATGGGAAAAAAAAAACCCCAAATCTTTCAAGTTAATAGAAATCAAAAAAGGGAATAAATTGAGAAGGCAGGGGCGGGGGGTGGTGGAGGGAAGAGAGAAGGAAAAGGAGGAAGAGGAGGGAGGGAAAAAGGAGTGGGGGATGGATGACATACCATCAGAAAAAGATTCAGAATTTAATAAAAATAAGAAAATAAGAACCGAGGTCCGGAGGGGTGGGTAGGGCTATTGATGCACTTGGTGAATGTGCTTGCACAGGTCCGGCGGGGGCGGCAAGCAGCAGGCCCCTGTGTGGCATACCGCTTGGTCCACTGTCTGGCCATCCGGTCGTGCTCTGCTCTGTTGGTCATGTACTGTGTGGCAGTGCTGCCCACCAGAGGGTCAGCAGGCTTGCAATCTGTAAGAAGTGAGCAGATGGAGAGGAGAACTTTAGAAATGGTCAGGGCTGGACTCCAGTTGTCCTTTAGGATGTCCAGACAGGTGACGCCCTGGCTGTTAATATTACAGTGATAGATTCTTGTTCGGAAGGTAACCTTAGGGGGTTTAAACAGATAGTCTGGTGAAAAGGTAATGTCAAGAAAGAACACCCCTCCTTCATAGACAGATCCTGGGGGTCCCAATACAGTTGACCTCCATTCATAAATGTTGTCTCCTTTGGGTCCAGCACTACAGTTGGGAGGAGGGTCCAACGTAATCTCTGCAAGTTCCTTCTGAATTCTTTTAGCACTAGTCGACAATTTAGCAGCTGTTTTGCTGGATATTTTTCCCTCCTTTTTCTTGGGCTGAACTTGTTCTCTTTCGGGTTCTTGCTGAACACTTTCACGTTGGTCTCCATCAGAACTTCCTCCACTAGTGCTTGGACTGTCATCAACTCTTTGTGCCTCAGTGGACGTTTTAGATCCCTCAGCACCGCCACCGCCGCCCGCGGCCGTTCCAGCTTCGGCTCCCGAGGCTGCTGCTGTGGCCGCCCCTGAGTCCTGGAAAGTGAAGCCACCGCCTCCGTGAGACGCTGCCGCCGCCCGGCCGTCCGCGCGCACTCTCTGTAACTCTTTTTAATTAAAACATTCTGACTCTTGGTTGGATTGGAGAGGTAGCGGACTGAAGAGGGATTGGTGCCTGAGTTCTCTAGTAAAAGCTTCGATGCACTTACTCTGGGTGGTAGATTGAAAGGAAGTGCATTCTCTCAGTTGATGGTTAAGAGACTTGCCAAATGAGAGTTGCCCAACTGGTTACCGACTTTGGGTCTAATGCTCTTTCCGTCATTTCCTTATATTCTGATACGAGCTAGCTGCTTGAATGGCTATCCATCACTAAATAATTGGAAGATGTTAAAAATGAAAACTGAATTCGGAAGTAAAATTAGGGAAGAGGCAAAAGGTAAGGGCAGCCTCTGTGACGCTCCATGAAACTGTGATTAGATTTGTTTGCTCTTTTAATCACAACCTCCTTAGATGGTCGGAAAGATGGACCAAAACCTCTTCAAAACAGAAAGTACCGGATCTTATAAAGAGGACGTCACTTAGAGTCTCCCCCCCCCCCCATCAGTTTTATGCCAAGGAAAGATTGAGGAATCTGGATATTCGGAGAGAAAGCAGAGTGAGATGTAATTGTGTGGTATTTAAGGAGAGCTGCGCTGTGGCACAGACCAGAGGAGGGATGCTGTGACCAATACGGCAGCAGGTGGAGACCGTGGTTCCCACACAGTGTGGCTCCGGCTCGGGAGCTGCTGCCGTTGGTCACACTAAGTCAAAGGGCTTAAGTGATTATGGTAGTTGAAAGCATGTTGAGTTCAAGGATTTATAATATTCCTTAAAAGGACAATAAATTCAAGGTTAAACAGAGAGTGCACTGGTGTGTGCCTAGGTATTAGCGGTTCTTTAAATCTTTCTCCAAATGGTAATTTCTCTAAAATTTGAGACATAAACATTAGGTAATTGAGTGTCAGGCAAATATTTAAACAGTTTGAATGAATTGATTCAACCTAGCCCTACTACTTACTAGCTGTGTAACCTTAGGCAATTACTTAAATTTTTCTGTGACTTAATTTTCTCATCTATCAAATGCAGTTGACAATGGCGCCTACCCCTTAGGGTTTTTGTGAGTGTGAAATGCGTTAACCTAAATCAAGTGCTTAGAATAGTGTCTGGCTGATAGTAGTGCGGTACATGCGTTAGTGGTGGCACTGGTGGTGTTCATGTCGTCGTCCTTCCTTCCTCTCCTCCTTCCTCCAGCGCCTGTACAAGCGGGAGCTTTCTCCCAGTTTAGTCATTCACTCCTTCAGAAGAACCATTCTTCTAGATCTGTGCTTTATAACCCGAGATATTATGATCCACTCATGGCCGTTCGGTAGTGGCCAGCTTTGTGCTTAGGTTATTCCCAGCCAATCTCTTGAAGCAGGACTTCCAAGCTCACCCTCAGTTCAGCAATGGGAATTATTTTTCCCGGGTTATCCCTGAGCTGATGTATTACTAGAAGCCCCGGGATGACCCTCTTAGAACATGTTTATCTGTGACAAGTTCCTTAAGAAATCGATTCTTAATAAATCATTATCACAACTCCAGGGGGGGTTATGAACCACCTTTGTGGGCATTTTGTTTACACATAGTACTGTGTTAGAAGTTGTGGGGAAGAAGGCAAAAAGAAATTACAGCTGAGTGGGGAGGATGTAACAAAGACAGAGCACGGAGGACTAAGTAGCTTTAAGAACACGAGTAAAGAGCCAAGGGAGGTGGGGGTAAGGAGAGAGAATGCCGGCCCCCAGGCCCGAGGGAAGAGTTCGTAGAAGTATGAAAAGCGGGTCCTCAAAAGACAGTTGGCGTTGAGAAATAATTGAATAGCAAGTTGGTAGGCTAGAAAGAGAAACAATTATATGGCAAGAATGGGATTTGTTAACTGTGAGCTTGACTGTCTCCAGCACACCAAATTAACTTTATGTCTCAAGCATTGATTCTACCAACTCAGTCTCAATAGGAAGCTAACTAACTGAAGAACATCATCAAGGCTCTGCTTGCATGGTGTGTATCAAAGCTGCTGGCCCTGGAGACCTCTGAATGAAGGGCAGGAACCAAGAGCTTCCGCATCAAGTCAGTCAAGTTTAGACAGACTTGGTTTTAAACTTAGCTACTTACTAGTTGTATTAGGGCACAAGTTAATTAACTCTGAACCTCAGTTGCCTCATCTGTAAAATGGTGATAATATGAAGGTGGCACCTTTGAAATTTTGAGGATTGAGATGGATATCTCGGGGTCGTGGGTTCGAGCCCCACGTTGAATGTAGAGATTAACCAAATAATAATAATAATAATAATAATAATAATAATAAAAACTTAAAAAAATTCAAACCTGCAGTGTAAGTGAATACTTAGTGGTAATAGTATTAGCAGTACAGTGTTTCAACCAGATAGAGGAACTTCACCTTTTTTCCCCATATTGAGATGCCATGTAAAATGTTAACTGTTTAGTGCTCTACTTCCTAAGAGAAAGTTGGAAAAACACTGGTACACTTAGTTGTCACCTCACTACTGTGAAATGATAGTGCTTCTAATTAAGGTTTTGAGATCTCTAGCAATCCTTATATAAAAGGACTAAATTGTGAGCATACACATCAGGAGAGGACTTTGGTGTCTATTGTGTTCGTGTTTTGGTCCCAGTTACTGTATTTTAAAATTTTAAGAAGAGAAGCCAAAAGAGTAGGTCAGTGAGAAAACTGAATAGGGCTTTCACCAAGTCCTTTAGTAATAAAGGTTTTCCTGCCCCAGGAACCCTACATCTCTTCTTCCTCCAAATCTGCCACTTAGTTTTATTTTTAAATGCTGACACAAATCCATTTCAATTTTCCATGCGATGTAATATGGTGGAAAGAAGACAGACCGAACAAAACCCCAAGATGAATTTCCTCTGGGCCGTTTGCTAGCTTGTGTGATCTTGAGTAAATAATTTCATATTCTTGAGTCTCACTTCCTATAAGATGGGGCAAGTCAGGATGCTTACCCTAAGTATCTCCCAAGTATTTAGGACTGAATAAAATACTCTATTTGAAAATCTTGTATAAACTCTGAAGTATGGTTCTCAAAGTGTGGCCGATGGATACCTGGAGATCTCCAAGATTCTTTCAGGGAATGCATGAGATCGAAATTCTTCTCACAGTAGTACGAAGATGTCCTTTGCCTTTTTCAGCGTGTTTCCACTGGTGGCACAAAAGCAGTGGATAAAATTGCTGGCACCTTAGCCTGAATTGAGTCAGTTGGCACCAAACTCTCCTAGAAATTGTATTCCACGTACTTGGAATAAGGCCCTGATGAAGCAGTAGCAACTGTTAAATTTATTCAGTCTTGACCTGAGTACACATCATTTGAATAGTCTGTGTGATGAAAGGGGAAGTACGCGTGAGGTACTTCTCTGCCAACCAAAGTACGACGGTCTCAAAGTTGAGTCCTTGTGACCTTGAGTTACAAGCTGAACTCTTTGAACACTTGGACACATTCCACTTCATGGAATGCCATTTTTACTTGACAGGATGATTAACAAACTGAGGTTATTCAGACTTGGGTAGTAAGCTTTTTTTGGGGGGGGGGGGAAGTAAAGTGAGCTTGTCATTTTAAGAGAAACAGGGGACAGTGTGTGTTGTCAATGATAAAATTCTCTTGAATGAAAATAAGAATTTGAGAAAACGTGTATCCTCCACTGTAAACTTAACAGCTTCCTTAATACTTAAAGACTTTTCCCAATAAGGTTGCTGGTGATACTAATGAATGTGATTTATTTATTTTTGTAATGAGATGTGTCCACATTTGGAAGGTCTCCAGAACCCAGTGGACTGTTTTCCAAATGACCAATACATGATGTCAAAAAAACAAAAAAAAATCAGGCATCAAGATCCATTCAAAGTGCAAGACAGAGCAGTGGATTTTCATGTAGCAGAGTATGAAAGTTTTTTGATATGGCTTCCAATGCCACATTCTAACTTAGCATGAAGAAACCACATCTTGTTGAGTTTTGGTATAGTATCAAAGAAGAATATCCATAATTATCTGAAAAGACCATTAAAATACTTCTCCCTTTCCTACTACATATCTGCATGAGGCTGGATTTTCTTCACAGGCTTGAAGCAGAATATATCACAACAGACTGAATAAAGAAGCAGAAGAATCCAGATGTCTTTTATTAAGCCGGCATTTAAAGAGATTTGCAGAAATTTCTCAGTAATCTTTTTGCTTTGGAAAATGTAGTTTTTCACAAAAATACGCTATTTAGATTAACATGTAATGGATTTTTATTTTAAGTGGATTAATAAAAATATTAAAGATTTTCAATCTTAATTTCTGATATAAACATTAACAGATGTAAATCATATAAACAGAAGCCCTTTGGGGTCCTCAATAATTTTTTTAAGAGTTTTTAAAGGGTCCTGACATCATGAAGTTTGAGAACCTCACTTCTGAAGTGATAAATTAAGACTTAACGATTTTTATGGTTTACCAACGCATGATATTGCCATCTCGTGACAAAAATAGGGAAATGCAGGTATTTTTGAAGAGCTCAGCTGTCAGGTCCTTGCAGTGATTTCGAATGACTGCTTTTTTGGAAATTGATCAAAAGAAAAGACCTAAGTTCATATTTCCAAGGGATATGTCTTAAGATATGTGTGCCCGAAACACTAATTGTCAGGAGATGAAGGAAGAACAGGTGATGAAGTGGTTGCTTTTAAAGGCCAGCGTTGGTCTTATGTTCGCATAGTAAGAACACATTTAGTTTTTGGTATCAATATGTGTGTTTCCTAGTACACAGAGCCCCCTTGGATGTGATGTTACAGGCTGTAAAAGAGGTATTTACTATTTGCAAGGCTGATAAAAGCTTATGGCGGTATCATATACTTTGGTGGCATTTCCTTATCACCTGTAATTAGGGTTCAATTATTGGTCAGGAATACAGACTCTAGTTATCATAGTCTTCTGAAGGGCAATGTGATCATTTTTGGTTTTTGTTTTCTGGGGCTTTTTTTGGTGAGGATTTTAGGCCCACACTCTGGTGACGAATTTGGATTTGTATCTGCCCTCAGATACTACATCCTGGCAAGATCCTGTGTGATGGGTTCTGTGCAAACATGCAGAGTAAGCAGCGTTCCTTACCTTCTAGTTCCCTGAGAACACAAATCCACAATGTAAATACGCCCAAACATGTAGAAGGACATATAGACAAATAGAGCCCGAGCCCAATGCTGGAAGATACAGCTGCAAAACCAGGCTCATGAATAATGGACATTTATGCTATGGAATAGCTTCAGTGGGTCTGTTTTTGCATCGATGAACTATGTGAAAAGGAAGGAACCTCACTTCATTTTCATTCAGTTAGAGGAAGGCCCACTGGCCAGTTTTATTTATTTATTTTTTTACTCAATTCAGCTGATTGTTTTCAAAATAACCTGTTCTTTTCAAACAGTCATGTGTGGAGGGACAGCTGTGCTCGGATGAAATGCCTGAGCCCTCCACTCTAACTACTGTACTAATTTTCTGCCTAGATTCACGATGTGCCCAGTGACCCTGCTGATGAACATTTTAGACATCTGCATGAATAATCAGATTGCCCACAGGAGAGCCACTTGCTTGTTTGTGAGGCTGGAGATGCTGGCTGGATGATGCTGACTCTGGTTCTGTGCACCAATGTGAAAGTAATAAATACCTAAGTAGTAAATTCTTAATCGGGATTGCCTCTGAGCATCCACGGGTGCTCTGAAACTGGTTGCCACATTCTACATGTAGGTAGATGTGTGTGTATGTTGGTGTTTCGGAGAAAACTCTAGAGCTTTTATCAGACTCTTCAAAGGGACTGTGACCATAAAGGCTAAGAAGCGCTGGATGCTGCTTCAGTCTTCAGAGTGCTTCTACATACATTTTTATTTGATCCTCCCAATAGTTCTGAGAGAGACATGGCAGAGATTCTCTTTCTCTCTCGCTCTCCTCCCCTCCTTTTTTTTGTAAAGAAGAGCCAGGACTGAGAGCCGAAGTGGTTTTAAGTTTCATCCTGTAGGCACAGGGAGCTATTGAAGGTTTTAATTCAGGAAGTGATCCCGTCAGATTTGTTATTTACAGAGATTGCCCTGGTGATAGAGCACAGGGGATGTCTCAGAGGAGTGAGGAGCTCGTTAGGAGTTCCATTTGGAAGATCAGGTGAGAAAAGATGGCCTGAGTCTGTGGCAGTCAGATTGGGAAAGAGCCAGTGGATTTTCAAGAGTTGAAATTCTTTGGATTTGTTTACCAGTTGGTGTTGGAGGGAGGGTGGAGGAGGGAGATAAGGGAGAAAAAAAAGGAAGTTTTTGAAGATGACTTTCTGGCTTGGTTGACTAAGTGAATGGAGGCAGGGACATTTTAAGCTTAGTTTTAGCCGTGTGGATTTTGAAGCAATACCATCATCCAGAGGGAAAGACCAGTAAGCAATCTGAAGTGTGTGCTGGTCCAGAACCGGGGCTTGGTGTACAGGACGAGAAGTGAAGAGGCGACGGGGTTCTGGGCAGGCCACCCTGGAGTGCGCCACTTTGACATGTGGATATTGGACAGTCGGGGACCTAGGGGACCCAGAAGGAGCTTCTTGCTTCACTTTTAATTGCCTCTCAGAATTTCATAGAGGGCCCGGAGCAGAAAGAGAGCTGGGAGCCGAGATAACTACAGACTCTGGGCCAGGGGTGGGGAGCTGGGGGTCGCTGCAGGCCTGTTTGTGCAAAATCCTCTCCTGTCCCGTTGTCTCCATTCCAGTGAGGAGCTCTTGTGTACCAGACAGTTGCTCTTTCCATCTTCCTATGAATTGCCTTCCTCCCCTTTGAGCCCCAGACCCCATCCCCCTTCCCCTTTGTCCTTAGCTCAGGATGGCCTCTAAGCCTCAATTGCCTGGGAAGAAGTCTCATGTCTTTCGGGTTCCCTTAGGAATGAAATTAAATTTTTCTCCTGTAAATCTGTTTTATGTCAACTTAATTATTAAGCCCGTCAAAAGAACCCAGAAGGGAGAAGTGTGCCTTCCCTACAAGGGCTTGTGTAGAACAGCGCGGAGATACCAACCAGTGTTCAGCCAGCTGGAGTGATGGTCTTAGGGTGGCCAAGGAACATCACTTATTAAAAAATTCTCTCTATTCCCAAGTAGAGAAGTAGGGATCAAATCTATCTCTTGACTTTCTTCACACTCAGATTACTCCCACTATTTCGGGATGACCTTAAATCAGACGCCACTGTAATCTGCCTTTAAGTCAGTGGGGGCACCAGACCAAGGATCTCTGATCTCCCGCATTCTTAGAAACGGGAATTGACACTTTACCAAGCACGTGTAAACGCCAGCCAAACGTTAAGTCCCTCTCCGCTGTCCCGGCCCCCCACAGTTGCTTCAAGAGAGTCTCACGTTTTCCTCCGTGATGCTACACGGCATCCTCCCGAAGTATAGCATTCCTTTTGATGACTTCGCTAACACCCAGATGTCACAGTTCTCCTCCCTCAACTAAGATGACCTTCATCTTCATTCCACTTCAGCCGTGCATACACATGCCCCACCTAATAGATCGGCTCCACTTCCAGCATTCCAAACTCTGTTCGTCTCTTCTTTGAAGTCCCAACTTCTCCCTGCCCGCCTCTTTTCTCTTGAGCCTGCTCTTTTCTCTCCTCCTTGGTGCCATCCCTTGTTCTCTTCTTGTTTCCTGGTGGGGGGAGACGGGCAGAGAGGAGGCTGGTACTCCTTCAGATACCCTGCTTGTGTACCCTGCTCAGAAATAATACGATGGCTCGGTCATGTGGATTTCCTCTCTGTGTTCTTCAGTAATTTCCAGCCAGATTCTTTCCCTACCATGGGTCTCTCGCCCCCGCCCCCCGCCTGTTTTTGGGCAGCTGGACATTGTTAGAAAACCTCACAAAAACTGGGGCAGTTGGATCAATAAATGTATGTTGAATAAGGGAACCTATCTAATAATTCTCCCCCGTCCCCCCCATGGGGAAGCTGAGAACTGTGCTGAAGAAAAACGGATCAGTATTTCATTTCCGTTTCATCCTATCATCTCCGCTAGCTTTGCCTATGTGAATATTTGTTATGTGTGTCAACGTGATAGCTCAGAAATCTGGGGTCTTCCTAACTTGGAGTGCTTTTATGGGAAAACCAGGCTTTGCATCTCCAGGTTTTTCCTTACAGGCTATAGACGGGCTGAAAATCTTGCTGAGAATTTCCCCCAGATATTTATTTACCCTTTGCAAGTTAGGAATTGGACTATGCAAATGCTTTCCCTTCTAAGCTGTGAGTGATATTTATTTATTTTATTTTTGTCAGGTGGTTCCATGGTTCATGAATTCTTTATTGTAGTAGGAGTCATCAATTGGATGGAGAACTATTGAAATCGTAAGTTTAGGACATTATCTGGAATAACCTAAACAATGCTTTTACCTTTTGGGCCCTTAATTTAATTCAAAATTAAATGAGTCTTATGATGGTAAGCTTCACAGATATGCCTGCAGGGCTTTCGGGATGGAAATGTGAGTCTCTGTGTTGCAGGGGAGGCTCTTTTGTTTAGTTGAATGGGCTAGGAAATCTTTGCCTAAAAACACTCATTGTTTAGAGGGTGTAAATAACTGAACATATTGTTAGTGCGACGTTTCATTTGAGATTGAACCACTGACTCCCAAGAATGTAGCAAAGTGACTGGAAGTGCTGTGAACAGTGTCTTCTCTATTTCCTTTAAAATACGCATGAAATTGTCTGAAAAGGAAACAAATCCCCAGAAGGAACCACAATGAGCATCAGGCGTTGAGCCCATTGTCAAGTTTTTGGAAGGAGTTTTTATTCTTCCCTGTGGTTGAAACCAGATTAAGAGTTGCCCCTTGCGGGTGCCTGGGTGGCGCAGTCGGTTAAGCATCCCACTCTTGGATTCAGCTCAGGTCATGATCTCAGGGCCCTGATCTCAGTGTCCTGAGATCAAGCGCCGCATGGGCCTCTGCACTCAGGCTGGAGTCGGCTGGAGATTATCTCCCCCTGCTGGTGCTCTCTTTTTCTAAAATAAATAAATAATCTTTAAAAAGAGTTGCCCCTTCTTCAGCAACCCCTTCCCAATGTGACATGATCCTTACGTCTCCTCCAGCCCGCCCCCCCCCGCCCCGGCCATCTTCTACCTCTCCAGTCGTGGGTGGGGTCCCGCTCTCCAGTCGTGGGTGGGGTCCCGCTCTCCAGTCGCAGGTGGGGTCCCGCTCTCCTTATCCCGGTCTCTTGCCCCTTTTGTTCCTCTCCAGCACTGCTAATTTCTTCCTTTGGTTTGGCAAATACCTGCTCCTTCTGATACGCTCAATTTTTTTGTGTGGGGTGCAGTGTAGTAGATGGAGATTGTTCTTATTGAACAGACTCCTGGCTCCCACCCAGGTTCTGGCTTGGTCTGTGACCTTGGGTTGCTTGGAAGTCAAGCGCCAGGATTTGTGCCTACTATCCATCATCCTTTGACCCCCTTTCTTGTTGCCAGTGTAGGCTTTGTTTGTCTCCCCCAGTAGGAAGGCCCACAAGGGCAGAGAAGGAAGAGTTGGGGTGGTGGTGTATTCCTTTTCATCGACTCTCCAGCAATTTATGCAATTGCTAGCACACGGGAAGCATGGAAGAGATTTGTCAAATCATTAATGAGACTCAATTACTGGAAAGGGCTTTAAAGCAGACCTCAGGTGTGGTAAGCATTGAAGCCCAAGGTCAACAAACCAAGCTCAAGGATGTGAGAAAGGAACCAAACCACCTATTACAGATGCATAATGAAAACAAAAATCAACCGCTCCGTAGCCAAGAAGTTGTAGGAATCTGCAGCAAAATCATAAACACATTTGCTTTATGAAACCAACTGTAAGCAAAGCTCTGCTTTGTAAACTCAATGAGATACATAAAGAGGGTGCATCTAGTAAATGAGAATTTTAGAACGGGTATAATGAAATGAAAACCCTGATAAGTAAAATAAATCGTCATTGTAAATAATAAACAGATTTTACTTAGAAAACCCAGCCAGTGATAGAGAATAAATTTCAGGAAAATGCCCAAAATGTAACAGAGAAGTCTAGAAAGACACAGATCCAGCCTACGCATGAGATTATTGAGGAAGATTGAGCGAAACAAATGGACCAAATGTGATAATTATTGGAGGGACATTTT